TTGTGGCCATGACCTCTCTTTTCACTGCTGTGGCTGGATTGCTCACAGCTGGATTTTTTTTACCATCCTGTGTCAGTGCCACTCAGGACTGTAATCTGTAGGTGATGAGGCTGTTTATTCAAATTAAAAACCATTGAGCAGAAGATAACTTATGCATTCTAGGTACTTACTATGCTGAAGTCTCATTTAGATGATTCCATGGATATTCCAAAGAGACACTGGCCATAGACAAAGAGGTGATGAGAATCCACCATAAAATCCAGCCTAGCCCTTGTGTCAGTAAATCTAGGCAGAATGCAAGAAAGCCAGGCAGGTTTGGTGCCTGTAGCACAGTGGTTATGGCACCAGCCACATATACAGAGGGTGGCGGGTTCGAACCCAGCCCGGGGCCACCTAAACAACTGTAACAAAAAAATAACCAGGTGTTGTGGTGGGTGCCTGTGGTCTCAGCTACTTGGGAGGCTGAGGCAAGAGAATCGCTTAAGCCCAAGAGTTTGAGGTTGCTATGAGCTGTGATGTCGCGGCACTCTACTGAAGGCAGCATAGTGAGACTCTGTCTCAGAAAAAAAAGAAAGCAAGGCAGCAAACCAACTTACCTGCACTCTCTCTTCTTTCCTTCCTGCTTACTATTAATAGAAATATATATTTGAGTCTAATGATAGGAAAAAGACCCTGAAAGGAAGGAGAAAAATGGAAGAAGGACTCACACTTAGATAATTCCTACCCCACATCTTCATGAGCATTTTGATTTGATATTAATTTAAATGTTAAAAAGAGACGGAAGTTTAGACCATGCTTTACGGTTGCTTCAAGGTCAATAAGCTACAGCAGTGTTCTGTGTCCACTGACTTCATAAATTATAACGATGCCATCTTTTGAATGTAAATGTGATGCTTTTAGTTAACATCGAAGCCCGTCCTTTTTCTCTTGATAGTAACGGTGGATTTTTACTGATTCATCTACCTTTACATTTTTGGCTAAGAACATATTGAGAGATATGGCTTGTGGAAGGGATAAAGGGCAGGTCTTTCTCTTGGCTGACCTAAGAGATTGCCGTGACTGTGTGTGTGGGAAAAGGTTGCCAGGCAATTGCTAAAAGGCCAGAGAGGGAAAGGGATAGCTGTCTCTAGGAACATGCCAGCCCACGTGCTGTACCACAAGTACTGATGCTTGTCTGTTTGAATCTCTGATCTGTAAAATAAGCCAGACCACTGGACACTTTCCACAAGGCTTTTGCTAACTAATACCCTGCATTGAGGCCAAGAGGCTTTTCAGTGGGCTCGTCTGAGTCCACACCCATTAGTCCTCAAAGATTACTTTACTCACTATCAGGGATGATATAATGACGTGGTTAATCTCTCAGTCTTGGAAGCAGACCAGAGTTTGCATCTTAGTTCAGGAGTTTACTATCTGTATGGCTTTCAAGAAGTATTGAATCTGTCTCAGTCTCTGTTATCCCACCTCCAAAATGGGCCAATTATTTATACTGTCTAAGGTTGTTGCTAGGGCACTGGGCATGGCACAGCTCCACAGGGCGCTGTTCACACAGACTAGAATGGAAGTAACACTAGCAGTTGTGCAACACAACTCTTCTAATTATAAATATTAGATGTAATTGACGCATATGAAGACATCAACACAGTGTCTATCAGAGTGTTTAAGAATGGAATCCAGTGTTGTTATTCTCTCAGGAAATTGGCTATAATTTGCTATTGTGTGATTTTGAAACTTGCTTTTAAGAAGGAAAAAGCTAAATAGTTTTGGGTACCGAAAGCACAATTTGCCAATGCCTGGAAGTGAGAAAGTATTGTTTTATTCAGGGAATGGAAAGGATTATTTCTACATTCTGGAGCCCAGAGACCAGATCATAAAAGTGTTGAATGGTCTGATGAGGGGTTTGGGCCTTGTCCTGAGGGCAGTAGTTTTAACGGAGGTGAGAGTGTCAGATCTGCACTTCAAGAATTTTGTTTTGGTTGCAATGTGCAGAATGGAGTGATGATATTTGGCTGTAATGTGAAGGGAGTGGTTAATTCTATCAGTCTTGGAGACAGAAGCAGGTTTGAATCACTCCTCAGCATTTACTATCCGTGTTCATTACTACTGTTTCTTATAAACATTTAAACTTTCTGATCCTTATAGGCTCCCAAAGCAATTTGAGTTGGTGTTCCAAAAGGATCTCTACATGTGCCTTTCTCCTTTTTAAATGTTATATCTCTTTTGTACCCACCAGGCATTGGGATCATTTGTAAGTCAGATGTTACTATTGTAAGCAAAAGCTGGTCTCTTGGTTTCCACCCTTGCCCCTGCCGTCTATTCTGCACTCAAACAGTGGAGAGACCTTTGTGAAAGACCAAACACACTTGGTCAGACCCTCCTCCATGATTCTGTCTCCATCTCCATCAAAGCCACTGCTTTGCAGGGCCCTCCGTGTCCCCACTTGGATCCCTGTCCCCCTCTACTTATGCTGGTTTCTCCTTGGTTAGGGACCATGTCAGGCACAATTCCCATAAGGATGTTTTTTTTAGACAGGGTTTTACTATGTCACCCTCGGTAGAGTGCTGTGGCATCACAGCTCACAGCAACCTCAAACTCTTGGATTTAAGTGATTCTCTTGCCTTAGCCTCCCAAGCAACTGGGACTACAGATGCCTGCCACAATACCCAGCTATTTTTTGATTGCAGTTTTCATCATGGTTTAGCAGACCTGGGCCGGGTTTGAACCCGCCAACCTTGGTGTATGTGGCTGGCACCCTATTCACTGAGCTATGGGCGCCACTACCATAAGGCTTTTTGCACATGCTTGCAATTCTTTTCCTGCAGATACCCATAATATTTGATTCCTTGTTTTCTTCAGGATTTTAATTTATCAGAGAGGCCTTCCCTAACTAATATAAAATCATGCATGCCATGGGTGTGTGGACATGCTAACACACACATGCATGTATGGACACACACACTCTCCTAGTTCTTCTTAGATTGCTCCCCTCCTTACACCGTAGCCCCCTTTTACCACCAGACAGTCATTTGATGTTTGCTCCCCTTTAGACAATAGACTCAGTGAGAACAGAGACTTTGTTTTATTCACTGGTGAATTTTCAGAACCCAAAAGAGAGACTAGCAAGTCACTCTAAAATACGTATTAAGCAAATATTTGTGGAATAAATGGATGTGTGAGGGAGTCGAGTCCAGGTCTTCCACTGTTCGTATAGCCTGGTTAACCCTCACCTTACTTTAAGCAGAAATCCCAGGACCCACTAAAGCTACGTAGTGACCACACAAGCAGACGGCCTGACCGTGAACTTTTGCATATTTTGAAAATGCATCTCTTCTATTTTTCAATCATTTGCTTAGGTTGAAAATAAACCCTCCACTACTGTTAATTCTCTACTAGTTTTCTTTGATATGGGGGAAAAAATGTCAAAGAAGCTTATCTCTCAATAGTCATGAGCTAAAAGGGACTTTAAGCTGTGGTGGGATGTCTGAGGGTCTGCCAGGATGTGCGAGGCAGGGGGGATCTCCTAGGCCCTGGTGTAGTTTTCAGCATGAATCGTCATCAGCAGCAAACATGAGCCAGAGAGTGTAGGCGAATATGAGGTGGCTGCCAGCCAGCCTGAAGCTGTGAAAGCCTCCAATCCAGCTCCTCTTTTAACATCTTCCAAGCCATCGGGCTGTGTGCTGAGACAGGACCTCTTCTTATCGCTGCAGTGTCTGATGTCCTAACTGGTCCCTCCTGCAAGGCCTAGCAGATGAGTTACCCTGACTTGGAGTAAACCTTCTACTACTTAAGTTCCCCTAGCCCCGTGCTGGATTCTGGAGGCAGAGGGGATGTGAGGTCTGAGTTGAGTTTTGCTTGAGCTGGGGGTCGGGCCGCAGCAGCTCAGCCCCCTGCTCTGCTCCTCAAGCTTCGTGTTGTTCTGTGGCTCTGTTGCCATGTCCCCGATTCCTGTGGTTCTTCCCCATGTGCATACTTTATGGTCACTGCTGTTATGCCACACGAGCTGATGTAGATGGAATTATTGGCTTGCATTTTTTGGTCACTTGGACCCTGTATGGAACTACTATGACATCCACGCTGAGTAGGAACATTTGAAGGCTGGTAACGCACAGCCTGCCAGGCTCCTGCTCATGCTGGGCCCACGCCTGGTTATCTCCCTCTCCCGTGTGACTGGCCTGCAGGTTCCAAAGCCAGCTCTGTACACAGATGTGAGGAGCTCTACTTCCAGAGCCAGATGCACAGCTGCTAATGTGTCAGGAGACCTGGGCTGCCTGAAAATTAGGAGGAAATGTGCTCTTCATCAAAACATGCTTTAAAAGCTGTACTTAATGTGTGGAAATAGTGCATTACAGCAGAAATTTTCCCCCTCTAGAAGAGATACCATGGAGCTTTGATTGCAGCCAAGCTTGAAGAGTTCTCGGTTTCCAAGTGAATGTGGAGGAATAGAATATGATTTCATGAAGTACAGTGTAAGGTATACTCCAAAGTTTAAGATAATCATCAGGCCTTGTGTTGGTAGGGTTTTTCAGAGTCTGAATTTCAAAGCACCAATGCTAATAAGGTCCTTTTGGCAAAGAAATCGTTTCTGGAAGATGTTGTACTAACCAAAATTTAAAAAGAAAATCTGCTTTAGCAATAAGGAGGAAATTATTTAATGCTTGAGAAGTTTGGGTTTCTTTTTCTTCTTGGCTATTAGCATGCATAAGTGTGTATTTAATAAGGCAAGGCTATAATTGAACTTTTCATTTCTAATAAGTCAATTGTGTATCTTGCTCAGTGAACGGGGACTATACATAGAAAGTTCACGGAGAAAATGAGTTGTAAATTTTACAAAGGATCGCTTAATTACCGGTGAAGTTTTAGAATCATCATTCACCATAGATTTTGGGATGGTCAAATATAAACAAGTTATTGGTAAGAGTAATAAAAAGTTAGTCATGCTTTGGATGTGGCTCTAATGGTGTGATTTTTCCCCACCCTCTTCCCCCTCTTATTTTTACTGGTAGGTTGTGACAGTTTGAAGTCGCATGGACAACATGCTGCGATTAAGTCTCCCACCCACCTTTTCAATGGGATTTCACCTGTTAGTCATCGCGGCTCTCTTGTTTTCCCCTGTGGACCGTGTAAGTGCTGAGACAGAAATGGAAGGAGAAGGAAATGCAACCGGTGAATGTACTGGCTCCTATTACTGTAAGAAAGGGGTGATCTTACCCATTTGGGAGCCCCAAGACCCTTCTTTTGGGGACAAAATTGCTAGAGCTACTGTGTATTTTGTGGCTATGGTCTACATGTTTCTTGGAGTCTCTATCATAGCCGATCGGTTCATGTCCTCTATAGAAGTCATCACATCTCAAGAAAAAGAGATAACCATAAAGAAACCCAATGGAGAGACCACCAAGACAACTGTGAGGATCTGGAACGAGACGGTGTCTAACCTGACCTTGATGGCTCTGGGCTCTTCTGCTCCTGAGATTCTCCTGTCAGTGATTGAAGTGTGTGGCCATAACTTCACTGCAGGAGACCTGGGCCCCAGCACCATCGTAGGCAGTGCCGCATTCAACATGTTCATCATCATTGCGCTGTGTGTTTACGTGGTTCCCGATGGGGAGACCAGGAAGATTAAGCACTTGCGCGTGTTCTTCGTGACGGCAGCCTGGAGCATCTTTGCCTACACCTGGCTCTACATTATTTTGTCTGTGATCTCTCCTGGTGTTGTGGAGGTCTGGGAAGGTTTGCTCACGTTCTTCTTCTTTCCCATCTGTGTCGTGTTTGCTTGGGTAGCAGACAGGAGGCTTCTCTTTTACAAGTATGTCTACAAGAGGTATCGGGCTGGCAAGCAAAGGGGAATGATTATTGAACATGAAGGAGACAGGCCATCTTCCAAGACTGAAATTGAAATGGATGGCAAAGTGGTCAATTCCCATGTTGAAAATTTCTTGGATGGCGCTCTGGTTCTGGAAGTGGATGAGAGGGACCAAGATGATGAAGAGGCTAGGCGAGAAATGGCTAGGATTCTGAAGGAACTTAAGCAGAAGCATCCAGAGAAAGAAATCGAGCAATTAATAGAGTTAGCAAACTACCAAGTCCTAAGTCAGCAGCAAAAAAGCAGAGCATTTTACCGAATTCAAGCTACTCGCCTGATGACTGGAGCTGGCAACATTTTAAAGAGGCATGCAGCTGACCAAGCCAGGAAAGCTGTTAGCATGCATGAGGTCAACACGGAAGTGGCTGAAAATGACCCTGTCAGTAAGATCTTTTTTGAACAAGGGACATATCAGTGTCTGGAGAACTGTGGTACTGTGGCCCTAACCATTATCCGCAGAGGTGGTGATTTGACCAACACTGTGTTTGTTGACTTTAGAACAGAGGATGGCACTGCCAATGCTGGGTCTGATTATGAATTTACTGAAGGAACTGTGGTCTTTAAGCCTGGTGAGACTCAGAAAGAAATCCGAGTGGGCATTATAGACGATGACATCTTTGAAGAGGATGAAAATTTCCTTGTGCATCTCAGCAATGTCAAAGTGTCTTCTGAAGCTTCAGAAGATGGCATACTGGAAGCCAATCATGTCTCTACCCTTGCTTGCCTCGGATCTCCCTCCACTGCCACTGTAACTATTTTCGATGATGACCACGCAGGCATCTTTACTTTTGAGGAACCTGTGACTCACGTGAGTGAGAGCATTGGCATCATGGAGGTGAAAGTGTTGAGAACATCTGGAGCTCGAGGAAATGTTATCGTTCCCTATAAAACCATCGAAGGGACTGCCAGAGGTGGAGGGGAGGACTTCGAGGACACTTGTGGAGAGCTTGAATTCCAGAACGATGAAATTGTGTAAGTTCTTTGTGTGTATATGTGTGTGGTGTGCTCGAGTGTATTTAAGAATGCAAGGGTGTGTGCTTCATTTTTTAAACTAAATGGCGTACAATGAATGAAAATGTTATGTTATGATACAAGACTTTCCAAATACCAGTCCTCCCTTGGGTGCCACTCATCAGAATGCTCTATACACAGAAATACTATTTGACGTCCAGATTTTATTTTTACTTTTGCATGTTTCCATGTTTATAGTATATTGTGAACCATGATAAAATGAATCTGCGATTTATCAGATCACTCAAGGTGGGTTGAAAAATTTGAATTCTGTTTTGAATTACATGGTATATACTCAGAAAAGGAATATATGAGACATAAGAATAGGTCTCGAAGTTCATTGCTGAGTACAAATTGGGCAAACCCAAGAAGGAAACACTTCTGTAAAGAATTTCCTGGCTACCAGAGCTGGCTGAAATATTTCTGTGGATTTTATTTGACATTGTGTGCTGTGACAGTATGTTAAGGTTTCTGCCTAAATGCTAATGCTTAATTCTGACTTAATGACAAACCTTGCTGCTTTGGTTTATGCTCACATGGGAAAAATTATACAACTTTTTCATAGTTCCAATCTAGTTTTGCTTTATGTGATTAAACAAACCCCTTTACCTTATTTATATAGTGATGGAGAGAGAGGTTCTGTCCAAGCATCCTAGTTGTCAGGGAGCAGATCAGAGAGAAGCATGAGGAACAATTTACTCCTCATTTTGGTACTTATGGGTACAACAGTGCCTATGTTATAACATGAGGTGACAAGGTACAGTGATTTTTTTCTACTGAGATTTATTATCTAGAGAACTGTTCCTTCTTCCTAACTTAGGAGAGGGCTGTGGATTCAACTCACCAAAAGCAGACGAAAAAATTGGACTCAATGAGCAATGTCCAAACTGGAAAGAAAGAGGGAAGAGAGGAAACTATTTATAATATCTGCAGTGCAACAAAGAACATCAGAATGAATCATTATGTTGGTTGAAGCACTGGCAATTTAAAAATTTCAGGAAAAAAATAAATGTACTGTATTAAATTCCTTCAGTTGTAAAAGTGGCAAAGTCTTGGGTTAATGGCATGTGATATGTCAAATGTTAAGTAGATGCTGAATGTGAAATAAGTTTCTCCAACTAAAAGTGTAAGGATCACATAAAAAATCTCCCCCTCCAAAAAAAGAAAAGAAAAGAAAGTGTAAAGAAAACAAACCAAAAAGGGGCAGGGGGAGGTTGTGGGCAGAGAGAACATTTTTCCTGAAAAGAGCCATCCCATGTCTTTACATCTGATAGTATTATAGAGATGGACGGTTATGGAGTACAATGTCACAAGGAAAGTGAGCAAAGCAGAGATTATAATATCCATCTTCTGATGTGTGTGGCGGGGTGGTGTGTTGATCACTATCAATTTTAAGTTCTCATATAGTTAATGTTGTACATAGTAAGGTATATTTTCTTGGGACACTTATTTTACTGAAAGGCGGTGATGTAATAGCAAATTAATATCCTTCATGCCCAAGAAAGGATTTTTTTCAAAGTTCATGGTCTTGCCCAGGTTAACACATGTAAACTTTATTCCTTTGCTAAAAATCCTTTCCCATTATCCTTAATAATCATCTTAGTTACTTAACCCTCCAGTATTAGATAGCAGTTGTAATCCATGGAAACGTGCATTACCTGTTAATAAAGGTGTATTGCATGTTAAGTGAATCCACAAAGGTAGTCCTTAAAACACCTTAAATGAGTGTTTTGTTTGCTCGGCAAAGGATATTTTCTCTTGAAAATTTGACTCTGTACTTGTTTATTTGAAAAGCAGCTTTCCCTCTCTACTATGCTGTTCAGGCCCAGGGCTTTCAGCAAGTCCTAAATAAATAACCTTTCTCAGGGTGGCACAATGTAGAAGAACAAAAATAATTTAAAGAAAAGATTGACAGTGATTGATGGAATAATTTATTCTGCAACACTCCATTTGAAGAATTCATCCTGTGCAATTAAATTGGTTTTATTCTTGCTAGGAGAGGAATATTGCCAAACTCCGTCTTTAGAGATTTAGATTTCTTGAAGGAATTGGTGAAATTGATGAAAATTTTAAGAGTTGGTGCCCTATCTGTATCTCTGTTCTTAGGAGTATTCTAGATCAGTCACCAGCTCCTCGTTTTATAAAACGCTTACTGTGTTTTATTTGTTAAGTTTAAATGTGAATTTTTAGAAAGGGGAAAACATTATAATTATACATGGAAGGAAATTACAGCTCTACATCTTTCTTTTTTCTAGCATTTTATTTTTAAAGCATATTTATCTTGATGCTCTAGACAAGCTCTAGCTTTATTGGTTCTTTGATTCAGAAACCCAGATACATTTCTTATTTTGATTTTATTTTTAATAGAGAAGTCATTTAAGTTTGTAATATGAGAATGTCTGTACCTGTTCATTCCTATTCTTACATAAATGAGTTGATTATTTCATCTCGACCTTTTCTAAGGTCAAAATGTCTTTGAAGGAAGAATACTGATAAAAGATAAGTGGTGCTGGTAATCTCTAATAAAACATATTCTCAGAAAAAAACATTTTAAAATTGCAAAGCAAAAGCCTATTAAAGAAATATAATTAACAATGAGCACATGTTTTTGTATAAGCTCAATCAATGACAAATACGAAACCCATGCCAAGTAATCTTGATTTTCAACAGGGAATTGTCTAATGTTAACAGCTAATAAAAAATAAATGAAGAATATGCTAATTTGATTTGTGGTTTGGTGGATTATATCCACAAATGTGAAGTGCTGCTAATGATTATTCTTTAATGGTGCTAGTTTAGTGGTAATAATTATTACATAATATTGTTTGGCCTTCCAAGGTCTAACATTAGCTTAAGTGGTCTGGAAAATGTTAAGGTTAATTAACTAATGTAGGTACAAATAAAATTTAATTACATAGTGATAGCCCAGAAACTAAGACAGAAAGATCATGAGCATGTATATTTAAAATGCAGAGTTGTAAAAACGAGGTATGTAAAGTCGGAAAATTTACTTAATATATTGTTTATAAAATCAGTTTACCAGGGGTTCTGAGCGACAAAATAATATATTGAACAATGGGTCTATCCAGAATTAATTTTGTTTTAACAACTATCACATTTTCAGGTATATTTTTAATTTCCCTAAACCTAGGAAATATGATGGGGAAGATACCTCAACAGGTATAGCTCTCTGGTACAATATTTATATCACATTTTCTTCTTTTGGAGAAAGTACTAGGAAGGAAATGAAATTTTAGTATTATATAGGTTCTACATTATTATTATAAGTATAATATTTCAAGGGAAATAAATATTTTGGTTTTCCTTTTTACATTTAAAATAAAGCCTATAAATAGGTTTTCCTATTTATATAACCCCTATTCTTCTTGCTGTTAAGAATTCCAAGGAATAAAGACCTAGCTATATAAGAAGGAATTCAATTCCGAGAGCAGAGCAAAATGTATAATGCAAGAAGACAGCCAGATGTAAACAAAGAGAAACAAAGGTATTTAGAAAGCTTGAAGTGCTAAGAGCAGGAGAATAATTGTGTGGGGAAATTAGAAATGATTAAAAATATTAAACAGTAGTTCTCAACCTTCCTAAAGCCACGACCCTTTAATACAATTCCTCATGTCGTGGTGACCCCCAACCGTAAAATTGTTTTCATTGCTAGCAAGGTTGAGAACCACTGTAGAGACTCGGCGCCTGTGGCTCAAGCGGCTATGGCACCAGCCACATATACCTGAGCTGGCAGGTTCAAATCCAGCGTCGGCCTGCCAAACAATGACGGCTACAATCAAAAAATAGCCGGGCATTGTGGCAGGTGCCTGTTGTCCCAGATACTTGGGAGGTGGAGACAGGAGGATCACTTAAGCCCAGGAGTTGGAGGTTGCTGTGAGCTGTGATGCCACAGCACTCTACCCAGGGTGACAGCTTGAGGCTCTGTCTCAAAAAAAAAAAAAAGAAAATGGCTAAATAAGAAAGACTATTAGCATCTATTACCTTGAATCCCACATTTTTCAAGATTAACTTTATGGCATGAGAATTTTAGCTGGTACATTTAGACTATTAAAATGATGGACACATGATATTTTACACTGACATAAAATTTTCCTAGCTAATGTGCTAATGTAAGATATTTGGTTGGAATAACTTTAACATTTTAATGGATTTCTGCTTTAGTGGATTATCTTTTCAGACCAGAATATTTACCTTTTAGAACCAAAAAATGTCAACTGCAAACCTAAATTATAACTACAAGATGTTTTTATAAATGCATATGTTTTATGAATGTATAACTATCATAAAAATAAAGCAAGGTAAGAGCCAAAACATGTGAGTTTCTGCCAGAACTCTAGGTTAACTGTGTGCAGAAAGGTTATTTACTGTGTCAACCAGATTGCCGTATTTGCTGTTCAGTCCCATTTTTTCCAGTGCTAATTAAAGTTCGAGGTTATAATATCATTATGTAAAAGAATTTTGTCTTAGCAAATGAGAATAGTTTAGATTCACCTGAGTGTTTAAAGTACATGCTCTTTTCTTAGCCATCCTTCAAGGCCATTACCTAGGAGGCTGATTGCTTCACTAGTGTAGAGGTAGAAGAGAGATTTACATATCAATTAATCAACACATACTTAATAAGCTGCTGATTTGTACCCGGCATTGGGCTAATAATGATGAGGGAGATAGAGGAAATACCACATATGCTTCTTATACTCTGAAATGGAGATAAGAAGAGAGTGCATATCCTGGTAGGTACAAACATTGTTACAAAGACATTGGGTAAGCTGTAAGGGAAGCATTCATTCTGGAAAAAATATTTGCATTTGCTTTTGGAGGACAGAAGCATAACGGGAAAGTGAAATGGGATGTGTGTTTTAAGATGGAGTCATAGGACTCTCAGATTGATAAACCCGAGAGTATGGGCAATTTCAAAATTGGATCATTATCAAAATTAATGA